CCTGAGACTATGGCCTTTAGTTACCCTTTAGGCCTGGAACTGAACTCACTCCCGTGGCTCCACTTTCAGTCAAACGATGAATAGGCCTACCAGGTGAACAAGAACATCACGGAGATATGCATTGCTTCTGTCTCTTTCTTCACTGTTCTTTGTTCCAGGATGGGGACAGAACAATAGTTGCACCTTAGATGGCTGCTCACAAGCTTTTAAGACCCCGATCACTACTCACCAAAGTAGAAGATAGGACTGTGTTTTTGTGGACTATGTTATACCAACTGACCTTAGGATCCTGTCCTGAGAGTATGGGCCTAAGTCCCACTGCCCAGTGACTCATTCCCTCAAGGTATTTGCCTATGGCTAAGAAAGTTTTCATACCTTTGCCCTGTGTATGTTCTACTAAATTCATGAATTTATTTGTAGCACACATAAATACATATGTAGAAATATCCAAAGAGGAAAAGTTTTTGCTTATTCTTTTGGAACTCTATAGTTTCAAAGTTTCCTAAGAGTTATCTACTACATATTCAATTAAATAAACATTTCAAGTGGGATATTTGATAGCAAAGTCTAGATAGGACAAAGCTAGTAAAAAAAAAAAGTACTTACAATATACTTAAATAGATGGATGAATATATTTTCATATATATAAAAATTTAAGAATTATTTTAATAAATTCTTGGGATTCAGGCCTGGATTTTAATGGTAATCCAGACATTCCATTTGCTTTTTTAAAAACTAAAGATATGAAACTAAAAGTTAAAAACTGTTTCCAAATTAATTTTTTGGCCTGAATGATATTTAAACTCAAAGAAGCATCATTATTTGACTTACCACGGGTTCAAGGCAGCCAAATATGGCACCAAAAATAAGCATCTTCCCAATCTTGACATTCACAGGCAAAGCTGCAAGGTGTTGGCCTAATGGAGTCAGCTTTGGCTCATTTAGTTCACAAGCTCCAATTTTCCGCAGTAAATTCATTGCATTGCTGATCACTTGAAGCTGTGGAGGATCTAAAGCTTTGGAGAGGAAATCTTCAGGAGAACCAAGATTACATTTCTGTACATTGAAAAAGAGAGACAGATTGGTATGTAATATGAATTAGCACTACCACAAAGAGATGGTCAAATTGGACTAAATTTGATTTTATTAAAATTCTGAGCAAAGAAGAGAAATATGTGAGCAAGGCTATCTTATTCTTTTTCTTATAACTGGAGCGTGTGTGTGTGTGTGATGGGGGAATGAGGATAAAATCTTTCAGTTCACATTTTTCAGTTTCTTTCTTGGTCCTTGATTTTGAGAACTGAAGGAGAGTTCAGGTCTTTCAGTCCAGGAAGCCCTTGGTCTAGGCCAGGGTTTGTCAATCTCAGCACTACTGGCATTTGGGCGAGATAATTTCTTTGCTGTGGGTGGCAGTCCTGTGTATCGTAGGATGTTTCATAGTAATCCTCGCCTCTACGAACTTGATGCCAGTAGCACCACCACTACCACCCCCCAGTTATGAGAATCAAAACTGTCTCCAGATAGTGCTAAATGTTTCCTGATGGGCAACAGTGACCCCAGAGTCTAAATTATGAAAAAACAAAACAACCAAACTCGCTGCTTTTGAGTTGGTTCTGAATCATACTGACCCCATTGGGTTTCCAAGATGGCAAATCTTTATGGAAGTAGACTGCCCCCTCTAAATTATGAGGCTTTTAAATTATAAAGCGTGTCTGTTTGGCAGAATCAAAGCAGTGGGTTTACTTATAAAAAGATAATGAATTATATATTAAAGAGTGACAGGTGAGAATCTAGAATAAGATAATTTTAGGTCCTTCTTTGTTTCCTAAAAAGGGGGTAAAGAACAAAAACGTCATCTGAGTTCCCTTGGGATTACCATAATATGAAGACATAATTCCTCCAAAGGTACACGCAAGATTTCAGGAATAGAATAGTCCATAAAGCCTTCAAATCTGAAAAGTAATATAAAATAATATTAAATACTTCTTCATGCAGTCCAATTTATGAGTGTCTTAAATTTCAAACGCCATGCCTTACCTTTCCCTTGTGTACATTCGGAAGCAGAAGCCATCTCTGACCCGCCCGGCTCTCCCCTGGCGCTGCAGAGCACTAGCTTTACTGACAAACGTCTCAACTAAAGAACTCATCTGACTGCTTTCATGGAACCTGAAGAAATGTTTTTAAAGAGAATATATAGATAATTAACTTAAATAAAAATATGAAAAAGCTGGAAATATTTAACTCTTAAAATATTGTATGATGCCAATACTGTATCTAAGGTAGTCCTTACAATAAACTCAAGCTACTATGAATTGCACTTATGACCATGACTTTTTTTGTATATCTCATTGTTAGTAATACTTACTACATACAATGTTGTTGCATGTAATTTGCAGATGTTATTATTCTCAGAT